AAATGAGACCCCCCGGTCTCCTCATCTCTTGAGTAAATTAACTTGACCTTTCCCTCACTCGGCGTGCTGGCTCTGCAATAAATCCACACCCGGCCCTCCTGCTGGGGCTCTTGGCACAGGGGAGAGAGCACTGAGAGATTTATTTAAAATCATAATCATAAAGTGACAAATAAAGGGGAAAAAAAAGGCAAAAAAATAAAATTAAAAAAAAAAAAGCTGGCAAATTTTGGCCCTTCCTCATCTGTGAGGAAATTGCTCCTTGAGCTCTTTCTCTAATTAAGGTTTGCAGGAGGTGCCTTGAGGACCCTCAAGGCTGGAGCAAGAGGCTCTCAGAGAGCCTGTGCAGGGAAGGGAGCCTGCAGTAACGAGGCTCAGAGGTTTAGAGAGGAGAGGAGAAGGGCCAGGTGAGGAGGGAGCTCCCTTTTGTGGGGCTGGGGCTGATCCTGCAGCCTCACCATCCCGCCTGTCTCCGTGGGCAACCGTCACCACTCATCGGGGAGGGGGACAAGCTCTGCTCAGGAGCAGCTGGACTGAAGCCGATGGGAGGACATCTATTGGTGCTGTGCATGTTTTTGGGCACTTGGAGGGGTAGGGCTGCCTGGCTGATACCGGGATACTTCGGGGTTATTTATCCCGTGGGAGGAAGGAGCGCGGAGCGGGAGCACCCTCGAGCGGGAGCACCCTCGCCGTGCTCACGCCTGTGCCGTGCCCCCCGCTCTCTCCCACAGGCTCCAAGGACCCCTGTGCAGAGGTGACCTGCAGCTTTGGCAGCACCTGTGTCCGCTCCACCGATGGCCAGTCGGCCAAGTGTGTGTGTCCGTCCTCCTGCAGCGGCGTTCCCGAGAATCCCGTGTGCGGCAGCGACGGCCGCGACTACCGCAGCGAGTGCGACCTCAACAAGCACGCCTGTGACAAGCAGGAGAACGTCTTCAAGAAGTTTGATGGCCTCTGTGGTGAGTCCTCTGCCCCTCCCTGGGGCCTTTAAATAGCTGGGGGGTGAAGGGTTTTAAAAATCTTTCCACCTGGGTTAGGGATTTTGAGGGTAAAGCAGTGGGAAAGGGGATGGGTTGGGGAGGAAAACGTGGCTGCTGTCAGCTCAGAAAGGTCAGTCTGGGCAGAAAAAGGTCAGTTTGGACAGCAAAAAATGTTGGTTTGGGCAGAAACGGGTCGGTTTAGGGAGAAAAAGATCAGTCTGCGTGTGACAGCTTCTGAAACTCGGAGCAAGCCAGTGCTTCCCCCGCAGCAATTGTTTGTGCTCGGGACCCACTGACCTAGAGAGCAATTCCAACATCTGTGCCACCTCCTTTCCCTCCTGCTGTTCCCCTGACCGAGGTCCCCCGGCTGTGCTTTTGGCAGGGAGCCTGCTGCTCGCCAGCATCCCAGGCAGCTCCTGCTAATTAAAGCACCCTGCCAGGCACAGATCCCGGAGCACAAACAGTCCCGAGCTCCGAGGGTGGATTCCTCTCTGGCTCGTGGTGGCTGTGGGCACTGGGTAATTAAAAGCAGCTGTATTCATTAGGAAAACCAAGAGATCAGCCAAGACACGTGCCAGACCAGTGTTTGACCCCAGGGAGAGGAGCGTGGGAGTGTGTTGGGGCAGGCTGGAAACCTGGAAGAGCTGGAATTGTGCTTTCACTGCTCCAAGTGGGGCAAGAGGGGTGCAAGAGGGAGGTGTGAAGGAGGCGATGTCATGCTGGGTGCTCCAGGTTTCTAGGGCAGAGAATGAGCTTTGGGCCTCTTTTGAGCACCTTGTGATCTCAGCTGGGCACCAGCAGAAGCTCAGGCAGTCTGGGTTGAGCAGCTGAGCTGTAGAACCTGAAAATCTGGGGGAAAAAGGGGTTATTTGGACTCTGTTGGGTGTTGCTGTAAGGCTTGAGGATGTGCTGGAGGTAGGGCAGAGCAGGGACAGGCAAACCACTTAATTTCCACACTAAAATGGGCAAAGCAAAAGAATTCAGCTGTGACCCTGTCCTGGGCCAGCCTTCTCCATGGGGATGTGGGGATGGCCAAAAGGGACATCCCTCTTTGTTTTACTGTTGCCTCCCCTTGTCAGCCTGGATTTCAGACTAGTGGGATTAAAGGCTGGGAACATCCCCGTGGTGCTTCTGCAGTTGCAGACAATGAATCAGCACTCTCCAGGTGCCTGCTTGGCAAGGAGGGGATAAATCCCAGGGCTCCAGCAGGGATTAGTGGGCAGGAGGCACCTGTTTTGCCCGTGTCTTTGGTGTGGCTGAAGTGAGCTCAGCTCATCAGACAGGGGGATCCAGATAAGCTTAGATTAGAGCCTAAATTTAGATTAGAGCCTAAACTTAGATTAGAGCTGTGGGGCTTGGCAGCCTGTGGCCCTGGCTGCTTTCAGGGCTCTTCCAGCACTTTTGGGAGACAGGGAGGGAGGGAGTATGGAAGGAGTGGGATGGCAGTACCAAACACCCCACAATGCCCACCTTTGGACTCGAGATTCTCTTGGCTCAGGAGAGAAACAGGGGAGTGAAGGCAGCTCAGGCTGGGCAAAAAGGCAGGGCTCATCCCATCAGTGCTCCCTTTGGAAAGGGCACGTGCCCGTGGTGTGTGGGCAGCCCAGTAAAAATTGAGTCCTGTGGGTGCAGAGCCCAGTGTGAGGGACCAGCCGAGCACGCCCCGAGTGCCAGGGGGGAAGGCACAGGAGCCACTGGGGCTGCCCAGGGAAGGAGCCCAGCCCGGGAAACACCTCCCCGGGCAGGGAATGGCCGGGCCTGACTCCCTGCTCCGCACACAGACCCCTGCAAAGGCGTCCTCAACGACATGAACCGCGTGTGCCGGGTGAACCCCCGCACCCGGCGGGCGGAGCTGCTGCCGCGCCCCGAGGGCTGCCCGCCCAGGAGGGAGCCCGTGTGCGGGGACGACGGCGTCACCTACGACAACGAGTGCGTGATGGGGCGCTCGGGGGCCATCCGGGGCCTGGAGATCCAGAAGGTGCGTTCAGGGCAGTGCCAGCAGCAGGGTAAGTACCTCTCTGTGCCCCTCCCCGTGCGCTCGCCGCTGCGGCGCGACCACCGCGTCCCGCTTCCCCCGCCATCCCCTGTCCCCCCTATATCCCTGGGGGCCCGGGTGTGAGCCGTGCTGTGCCGTGCTCTCCCCCCGCCCCCAGACAAGTGCAGGGACGAGTGCAAGTTCAACGGGGTGTGCCTGAACCGCCGCGGCTCCGCGCGCTGCTCCTGCGACCGCATCGCCTGCGACGGCGCCTTCCGGCCCGTCTGCGCCCGCGACAGCCGCACCTACGGCAACGACTGCGAGCGCCAGAAGGCAGAGTGCCACCAGAAGGCTGCCATCCCCGTCAAGCACAGCGGACCCTGTGGTAAGCACTGGTTGCCCTCGGGAATACTGGTACCCCCGCCCGCCGGGGCGCCGGTGCCCTCCCGGCGTCATCCCCTCCTTGCCGGCGGCTTCGTGCCCGTCCTTCCGTGCAGGAAAGAGCTGCAGGTAAGTGTGGGTGGTGCCCACCGAGCAAGCCACAGGGTCTCCTCGGTCTCGTGTCCCAACAAGCCCTCAGGATCCCCGTTCTTTCTCCTTCCAGCAGTCCTTGTGTTGTCGTGTGCACGTGTTCCCCCGTGGTCTCGTCTCTGTCTGATGTGCTCAGTAACACGGGGGAGAATCTTTTTGTTGTCCGTGGCGTCCAGCTGGTTTCTCTCATCCACCACCACGCAGCTCCCTGCAGCCCATGCCATTCATTCCTCCTCCCAGGGTAGTGCCAGTCTCCAAGCTCCTTCCATGCTCTCCCCCCTCCATGCCTGCCTGCTTCTCTCAGCTCCAGGTGCTCTCCGTAAGGAACTCTTCCCAGCGTGCCTGCTCTCTGGAGATCTCACCATGTCTTTGTCTTGTCTCTAGGAGAAGCTTTTGACCTTTCCAGTGGATCTTTTTCAGGAGGATGTGATAGGATGGGACATTCCCAGGATGCTGGGAATGTCCAGTTTTAAATTTATCACACGGAAAATGAAAGGTGTTGAAACGCAATCACTGGATTGATTTGTATGAGTTTGGAAGGACTGTTCTTTTCAGCTCCATTTGGTTTTTACTAGCTCTGGAACCGTGTCCTGATATTTTAAGCTGATGTTTTTATAAGGTATCAGCTGCATTAAACCTCCTGAAGTACTTGGGAATTAGGCCCCATGTTGCGGATCTGTTTTGTTGGCTTTGTGCTCCTGCTGTAGGTTTTTAATGCTGCCAGACCCAGCTGCTTGAAAACCGTTTGTCAGGCTCCCAAAATCACACTCAATACAATCACAGCTGTTGTTTTGGATTGTCTGTTTGCCTGTGTTTCTGGTGGGTGAATATTTAGGAGTCAGTTCCCCAAGTTTTCCCTAAAGGGAAGGCTGGGATCCTGCAGCAGCAGGGCCAGGGGGTGGTTATTTGCAGCCCTGCTGCCCTGGGCTCTCCACAAACCCTTCCCTGTGCCTCCTTTAGAGGCTGAGGCTTCCCAAATTTCTAGGATGAGCAGGGAACTGGTGCTGCTTGTGACTCTGCTGTCAGCCATGCATCATTCCCACCGTGTTCCATGGAGGGAGGCCAGCAGACAGCAGGACGTGGTCCTGATGCACCTGCCATTCCTCTCCCCATCTCACTTTATTTTAGCTTCCCACCAACTTCTCTTCCTCCAGGTGAGGACAGCAGATGTGCCCATCTGCTTTCAGGAACCACGTCCTTGTGGGATGGCAGCAAAAAAAGGTCATAATCTGGGGGGAATCAATCAAAGCTGGGGCTCTGTCTGCCAAAGCCTGGGATTCCAAAGTCTGTGTGACAGCTCCAGGCAGTCCTGTAACCAGCCCCCATGAGGTGTGGGCAGCTTTTTCACTCCCCATCAGCTTAGGAAAGCATCCTCTGTGAGCTCAGTGCTGCTGAGTTCATCCATGCCTTGGTGCTGGGAGAATGCAGGAGGAGCTGGGAAAGGGAGGGAATGAAGGAGCCTGTTAGAATGGGCAGTGTTTTGATCTCCCACACATACCTGTCTAATAGACTCTGGGCTCTCTGCTGTCTTTTCCAGCAGCCAAGCAAAGGAGGCAAAGCCAAACAAAACAGTCCAAAAAAGCCTTGTTTTTAATCCTTCTCTATTCTGGCACTGCAATGGTGCAGGTGAGAAAGGAGGGATGGGATGAGGCCGACATGGACAGGAGGTGGAGGGAAGGAAGGTGTCTGTAGTTGCATCTTTTCCTTTCCTCCCTCCCTCTCTCTGCTCTCCCCCTCCCCTCTTTCTCCCTCCTTCTTTCTCTCTCTTTCCTTTCTCGTCTGTGTCTTGTGTTTTACAGTGTTGCCTGTGTGGAGGAAGGAGTTGTGTCCTCGCATCACCCTCTGCTCCCTACCCGGACATCTCTGCTGGGAGGTCGGCTCTCCCCCCTTCTCCGTGGCCAGTGACAGTCCTGGCCTCTTCTCACTGCTCCCCACCTCTCTAGTTTTGCTTGAGAGCCCCCGGGATGGAGAGGTTGCCCTGCTTTTGCTCCCATCCCTGGCCCCAAACTCTCGCTGCTGGAATGGGAATGCCTGGCAGTGCTCTGGGGTCTTGTCCGGTGCTTGACCCTTCGAGGCAAATGAGAGTGGGAGCAGAGGTGGGTGCTGTGAGCCCCCCACTCCTTAGCAAGCCCCTCTTGGGCTGCTGCATCACTCTGGACTGCTCCTGGTTGATCTTACCTCTCCTTTTGCCCCCAACTAACCCCCCTTTCTTCCCCACCTCCTCCTTCCCAGAGTTTCTGCCTGCCTGGGACTGCGGTGCTTGTCCCTTTGCTCTCCATAGTGTGTGTCCTGCTTGTCTGTGCCAACCCCCTGGGCAGGGGCTCTGCAGGGATCACCTCTCTGGTGTCCAGCAAAGTACCACGTGCCTTTTGGAAGCACTGAGGAGCTCTCTGTGCTCAGAAGTGGTTCTTCCCTAGGAATATTTCCCTGTGGAGCTGGTGCCGGAGCCCGCTGGGTGTCACAGGCAGGGGTTGATGGGGTGTGATGGGTTCCAAGGCAGCTTCAGAGCCTCTTCTCCATGGGCATCCTCAGCTGGGGCTGGCAGGAGAGCTCAGTGTGCCCAGGGGCTTGGTTAGGTGTCTGCACAGAAGCATGGAATGGTTTGGGTTGGAAGGGATCTTAAATATCCTCCAGTCCCACTCCCAGCCACGGACAGGGACACCTTCCACTAGACCAGGTTGCTCCAAGCCCCATCCAGCCTGGTCTTCAACACTTCCAAGCTGGGCAGCAGGTGAGGGACTGTGCCCTGGAGTCTCCCAGGGTGCAGAAAGAGCGTTTTGCTTTCTCTGTGCCTGGGTTTCTCTGTCTGTGAGATGGAGAAGGGCCGGGAATCAAAGCAGGTCTCGATTCTAGCACAGCTCAGTAGGTCCTGGTTGCATCCACCCACAGTGGTGCCAAAACTCCCAGTGACGTCTGGAGGTGCCCAGGGCTGCGTGTGAGATTTCACAGCCTGGGATTTGGGCTGTGAAGGAGCTTCATGTGCTGCATCTCTGCCCGTTTCCCTGCTTAAGAAGGGCAGGGAGTGTCAGGGCCCCGTTCTCCATCAGGGCTGGCACCTCCCCGTGCTCCCACTCGCTGCTCCTTTGCTCCCCAAGGCAGGAGCATGAGTCTGGATTTCAGGTGAGGGAATGTATTTGCTTCATGCCTCTCTCCTAATTGTGTCCATCAGAGGCACTTTTTCCACGCAAACTTTTATCTCTGTGCTTGGGGGACACGATCATGGGACGGATGTTTCCAAAAGGGAAGCAGAGGCTGATGTGAGCAGCACCACAGGGCTGAGCTCTGCTGCTCCCCATCCCTGGGGACTGCTCACACACTCCTCAGCTGCAGGGAAGTTCGGCACACAGCTGAAAAGGCTGGCTTGGAGCAGTTGCTTTGTGCCTGAACTGTCCCCCTCTCCCCTGTTCCTTTGCAGACCCTCAGCTCTAAGTTTTGACTTGGTAGGTGCTTCCCAAAGAGCAGGATCCCTGATCTGGGCATGCCTGTGCCTGTGCTGGGCCATTCCTCCCTGGCTGCCAGCATGGAGCCAGGCTCCTGAGGGCTCAAACCTTGCTCTTGCTCTGTGGTCCTGGCAGGGGAGGTGCCCAATGCCACTCCAGAGGCTCCGGAGGGCCCTTTCCCACCACGCTCCCCTCTGTGCCTGCCTCTCTGCCGAGTGTTGGTGGGGCTGTGCTGTGTCTGCCTGTTGCCTCCATCTCCTCTTGGCTGCATTGTGTGTTCCCCACCTGTGTTTTGTCCTGTGTCCTTGTCAGTGTTGAGCACGGGTCAAATCCGTGTCCTTTCCTTGCCCCAGGTCCTCAGGGATTTTGTCTGGAGGCACGAGAAGGGTCACTGGGCAGGGCTGGGTCTGTCCCCCCTGCCTTTTAGCTGCCTGGCTTGGCTCCTGGATGGTGGGGGCAATTCTTGGAGGGGTATTCCTGCCTGGGAGGGACCCCAGGGCTTTCCCTTCTAGCATTTCCAGAGCTGTACCAGGGATCTGGACACGGCCTTTGCTCTTTGCTCTCAGTGCTGGCTGCTCACCTTGTCACCCCTGAGCATCCCCACAGGGAAGGTGCCACCTGCTTGGCCGTGGCTGAGCAGAGGGAATGCTGCTTCCCAGCCTGCAGCCCGTGCCAGGGGGCTTTGCCCATCCCCAGGGAGCCCCAGGGCTCTGCTGGAGCCACCTGCCCAAGGACTGGGCTGAAAGGAGGACATTCCTCATCCTGCCCCACGGCAGCTCCCTGGGCTGAGGAAGGACAAGGAGGGGATGGGAGAGGAGAGACATGGGTGGTGTGGTGGAGCCAAATGCAAGTGTCTTCTCCAGCCAGGTCTTCCTGGGCTTAGCTGTTCAGGGGACAGGCACCCCGAGGACGTGGATCTCAGTGGAGGGAGCTATCCCTGTGTGAGCTTTTTGGCTACTGAAGGTTCTGTGAGTGCTGCTGATCCCACTTCCTAGGGGCAGAACGTCCCTGGGACGGTGATGGGGTGGAGGAGATGAAGCAGGAGTCCCGCTCGTGGCGTGCAGGGAGAAGATCTTGTGCCCACTTCCCATCCCTAACCTCTGCCAAGCATGGGGATGACGCTGAGCCGGGCATGTCGGGGTGGCATGGAGGGGGCAGGGGCTGGGCTGGGGCCAAGGCCAGGAGCTCTGTGGCTTTTGGGGGAGAGGCAGGTCGGGGGGTGCTGTGGCTGGGGCTGCTGGCATGCCTGGCTGTGCTCAGTGCCCGGGGGGGAGCTGTGGGGGGGGAGCTCAGCTGGCTGAACCCGCCGCCCTTTCTGTGTCCCCTCTGCAGACCTGGGCACACCCAGCCCCTGCCTGAGCGTGGAGTGCACCTTTGGGGCCACGTGCGTGGTGAAGAACCAGGAGGCCGTGTGTGAGTGCCAGCAGGTGTGCCAGGGCCGCTACGACCCCGTGTGTGGCACCGACAACCGCACCTACGGCAACCCCTGCGAGCTGGACTCCATGGCCTGCGTCCTCAAGAGGGACATCAGGGTGAAGCACAAGGGGCCCTGTGGTAAGAAACGAGCTCAGGGGGCTTCCTTCTCCTTCTCCTTCTCCTCCTCTCCCTCTTCCCCCTTCTTCCTCTCTTTCCTTACGGGGAGTAGGCAGTGAGTTAAGCACAGATGTGCCCACTGGGAGAGAGGGGTTTGGGGCTGTGTGTCTCCAGGTTCAGTAGGAAGGTGGTGGGAGAGAATCCAGTGTCCATCCTGAACGCTGCCTTCCTCACCAAGGAAAGCTTGAGGGGAGGCAGGTGTGGGTTGTCCCCTCACCCAGCAGGCCTTACCCAGGGTGCCCTGGGGAGAAGGTGGCTGGCTTAGAGGCACAGGATGAAGTAAGGAGGGTTCATCCTCTTCCCTAATAAGAACCCCCCCCTGTATATACAGCTCAGACCCTTACACAGCACAGAATCATGGAATATCCCCACTGGGAAGGGAGCCACAAGGATCAGAGTCCAACTCCTCGACCTGCACAGGACACCCCAACAATCCCACCCTGTCCCTGAGAGCGTTGTCCAAACACTCCTGGGGCTCTGGCAGCCTTGGGGCTGTGCCCACTGCCCTGGGGAGCCTGTTCCAGGCACTTCCATCTGCAGGCTCACTCTCTGTGCCAGCTTTGCCAGTCAGAGAGTGTTTGCAGACAGGCACAGCCCGGGCTGACTCTGTTCTCCTGGGACAGAATCTGTTCAGGTAGGACTGGGCTTGTTGCAGTTTTATCAAAATGCAGTTTTCTGTCCCAAACCTTCAGGCTGACTCTCAGGAGCTGGCTGCCATGAGCATCCTCTCCCCTGACCTGCAGAGCCCGTGTGTGGCTGCAGGATTTGTGCCATAGATAGAAACCTCCTGGCCAACAGCACGAACCGAGCAGGGGGTTGGTGCATCTTCCCTCCCCCATGCCAAGGCAGCAGCTGCCGTGTGAAAGAAAAAGAAGGGAAAACCGCCTTGGAGCCAAATTCCTCCTGAAATGACCGGTAGGGAGGGGAAAAAAAGAGGGGTGTTTGAAGGAGAAAATGAAGCCGTGAATTAGTAAATACCCGGGAGTCAGGAGAGGTGCTGGCTGGAGTCTGGGCTCTCCTGCAAGGAGTGAAAGCTGCTTGGAGAGGGAGTTGTCAGGATGATAAACATCTTCTCTGCCCCCAGCCTGCCCTCGTGTGCCCTGTGTGTCTGCGGCAGGCTGGGGGTCCCTCCTGGGAAGTGGCACTGTGACATTTGATGTTACACCTGCATCCAGCGCTGCTGGTGCCCTGATAAACGAGGGGAAGGTGGTATCCCCCTTCCCAGGCAACCTCCTCTTCCCATCCTGCTGCTGTGCCGTGTGGGAACGCTGCTGGCTCTCTCCCCTGGGCTGCCGGGGAGGCTCCGCTGCTCCTCCCGTGGCTGGGGCTGATTTATTGCTCCCCATAATTACTCTCAGCCCCACACTCTCCCACCTCCTCTCTGGCCCTGCCAGCACACAGCCACGGTGACATTTCAGCATGTTACTCCTGGCCCTGATGGCTTTTACAAGTAGTTACTGCCTTTCTGCCTCCCAGCCTTTCCCTCCTCCCACATCCCTGCCCTCTCTCCCTCCCTTCCACTCTGCCCTGGGGCTGCTGCTCCCGGAGAGCTGTGGTGTCTGCAGGGGCTCGAGGTGGGAGCAGGGAGGTTTCATTTCTGCATTGGGTGGGTTTAGATCTGCGTTAGTAGGTTTATTTGGGAGATTGGGAAGGAATTCATCCCTGTGAGGGTGGGCAGGCCCTGGCACGGGTTGCCCAGAGAAGCTGTGGCTGCCCCATCCCTGGGAGTGTCCGCGGCTGGGTTGCACAGGACCTTAAAGCCCATCTCATGGGGGAAGGAAACACCTTCCACTAGACCAGGGTGCTCCAAGATCCATCCCTGGAAGTGTCCAACGCCAGGTTGGAGCAACCTGGTCTGGTGGAAGGTGTCCCCGCCCACGTCGGGGGGTGGAACGAGACGGGCTTTAAGGTCCCTTCCAGCCCGTGCAGTCTCTGCTCTGTGCTCAGCCAACACCCCCCCGCCTCGGCGCTGCTTTAACCTCCCGGCTTTGTCCTTTGCTCCGCACAGACCGCTGCGGGAAGTGCCAGTTCGGGGCCATCTGCGAGGCGGAGACGGGGCGCTGCGTGTGCCCCACCGAGTGCGTGCCCTCTGCCCAGCCCGTGTGCGGCTCCGACGGCCGCACCTACGGCAGCGAGTGCGAGCTGCACGTCCGAGCCTGCACCCAGCAGACCAACATCCTGGTGGCCGCCCAGGGAGACTGCAGTGAGTCTGCCAAGGTCCCCTCCAGCCCTCCGCTCGCCCCCCTGGCCCTGCCCACCCGGGGCTCGTCGGGTCACCGACTCGGTTGGGCTTTTCGCCTCGTCCCGCGTGGTCTTCCCATGTGGCTTAGGAGGAATTTTATCCCCAGCTGGTTTAGTTGTTTCCCTATTGTAGGTGGTATCTTCCCCCCCCCACACACGTTACTTGGTAGAGAAATTGGATTAGTGTCCACCGGGCCGAGCAAAGAAATTGGGCTAAAAACGTGTTAATGGCCACCATCAGAACTGAAAGCACTGAGGGTCTGTTTGATCACACACACGGCTTTCCCTCCGCCCCCATCCCCTGGGGTTAATTCCTCTTTGTTCCCGAGTTTCCTCCCCACTCCCCAGCCCAGGGAAATGTCTGTGCTAATTTCTTAATGAATTAAAAGCCCTGGCCGGGTTCTTCATTAAGGCAAAAGCTGTTTGGGTAAAAGCAGTGATTCGAGCCTCATAAAACCTGTCCAGATGGGTCTGGTGTTCCAGGGATTGAGCTGGTGCGTGGAGATCCTCCCTGAATTCGGGAGAGAATGCCTGAGTGTGACAGATGACCCTCAGTGCTCCGTGGGCTCAAGTCAGAACACACCACGAGAGTAAATGAGATTTCTTAGTGGTGTAAGGAAGAATTGTTGGACGCCACACCCGTGGGTGCTGATGGGGGGGGTCAGGAATGCTCAGGGTGGGCACACAGTGCCCGTGGGTGCTGATGGGGGGTCAGGAATGCTCAGGGTGGGCACACAGTGCCCGTGGGTGCTGATGGGGGGGTCAGGAATGCTCAGGGTGGGCACCTGGCCGTCGCAGAGCCTTTGCACCGATCAAATCAAACAATAACATCAGCGGTCCCCAGCTGTGTGACACTGCTCAGCCGGCCACGGGAGCCCCCGTGACGCCTGCCTGTGTTCCCCCCTGTGTCCCCAGAGTCGTGTGGCAGCACGGTGTGCTCCTTTGGCAGCCGCTGTGTGGGTGGGCAGTGCGTGTGCCCGCGCTGCGAGCGCCAGCCCCCCGCCCCGGTGTGCGGCACCGACGGGCTCACCTACGACAACCAGTGCGAGCTGCACGTGGCCTCCTGCCAGCAGAAGAAGAGCATCGAGGTGGCCAGGACGGGGCCCTGTGAGGATGGTAGGTGTGAGGGTGTGGGGGTGCATGAAGCGGGGAGAGAGGGAGGGGGGACGGAGGGTTCCGCTGCCACGGGAGCCCTGCTGTGTGGAGCTCGGGCACAGTGCCCTGTGAGCCCCCCAGAATGCCCAGCACAGTGTGCCAGCAATGCCTCCTGGCCACTCTGCACCCCGCTTGCCACCCCCCTTTCCCCTGTACCCAGCAATGTGGAGGTGATGCCGCCCGGTTGGGTGGACAAGGAGTTATTGCTGCTTTAATGTCACGCTTTGGAGGGTCTCATCCAGGGAAACAGAGCCATTCCTGGGGCTGGGAGCGCAGCTGCTGCTTTGCTTCCCTCTGTTCTGGGGCTGCTCGAGGGCCTGGCCTGTGACCTGGTTCAGTGGGTGACATCCCATGGCATCCTGGCCCTCAGGAGGGGCCTTGGAACAAGATGATCCTTAAGGTCCGTTCCAACCCAACCCATTCCATGGTGCTGTTGACTGAGTGCCAGGGAAGGTTGTGGGGTTGGCTGTGCCTTGCTTGGCCAGGCTAAAAGCTAAGAACCTGCTGAGTTTTCCCAGTTTGGGGAAGGCTGTGGGTTATTGCTGGCTGAATTCATGTAGGGGAGGCACCTAAACCTCCCCGCTCTGGTGAGCTGAGATTCCCTGGCTCGTTGCACATGTAGTAGAGCTGGAAAGGACTTCAGTGCATGGCAGAGCTTAAGGAGAGAGGAAGACATAACATGGTGTTTGATCACAGCCCTCCTTGGGGAATTTCAGGTTGATGTCCCTCTGGGAGAAGAGCTTAAATAATTCTCTGTGTAATGCCAAATCCCAGCCTTTGATCACTCAATAAAAAGGGCCAGGTTTCCCTTCCCCCCCCTACCCTTCCCCTTTAAGAAGCCTTTGAAATCAGCAACATCTCTCTTGCTGCTAGAGCTCTGAGCATCTTACAGAGAGGCAGCCAGGCTGGGGACAGGCTTTAGGTACTTAAAATATCTCCCTAACCGAACTTCTAAACCCAAACCCCGTCCCTTCCTCTGCTCTGCTCTCCATGTCGGCAGCAGCAATCTCCCTGTGCACAGCACGTTTGGGAGAGCAGGAAAAGGAGTGGGATCAAAGCATGGAGTTAAATTGTTACCAAGGCCGGTGGCAGCCCTCCCTCCCGTGCATGACTGTCAGCTGGCTGAGCTGCAGGGAGCTGCAGGAGCCTTGGTTTGGCTCCTGCAGTGATGCCGGAGGAGGAAAACCTCAGGCTAAAGCAGGTTTGCAGTTCTCATTGTGTTGGCTCAGCACAGTCAATGGTGGGAGAACCTGCTTTGTCCAAGAGAGAGGGATCTTCCCTGACAGCTGGGCATAAACATCCAAATATATTTGGCCCAGGATTTTGGGGTTGCTTGTGCTGAGGAGGTTGAATCTGCTCGGATTCGGGCGGGTGTGTGCAGCTGTGGGCACATCCTGGTGCCAGGACAGGGCTTTGGCCCCATCCCCTCCGCTCCCCCCCGTGCTGGGGCTGAGCCCTGTGTCACCAGGGTGGTCCTCCCTTGCAGAGTGTGGCTCGGGGGGCTCTGGCTCCGGGGATGGCAGCGAGTGTGAGCAGGACCGGTGCCGGCAGTTCGGGGGCTGGTGGGACGAGGACGCCGAGGACGATCGCTGCGTGTGCGACTTCACCTGCCTGGCCGTGCCCCGCAGCCCGGTGAGCCCCCCTGCACCCTCCCTCCCCTCCCCTCCCTTGGTTCCCTGGGCCAGGAGAGGGCATGCCACGGGATAGGGAACCTGCCTTCCCGTGCCAGGGGCTGCCCTGAGCGGGTGCCCCTCCCTGTCCTGGCAGGTGTGTGGCTCCGATGGTGTCACCTACGCCAACGAGTGTGAGCTGAAGAAGACACGGTGTGAGAAGCGCCAGGATCTCTATGTCACTGGCCAAGGAGCCTGTCGTGGTGAGTCCCCTGATGGCAGCCACCCCCCCTCCCCACCAAAGCTGGCACAAGCTCTGGGGGTGCCCAGCCTGGTGCCCTTTCCCTGTGGATAAGCAAAGAAGTGCCCGCTGTGTCCCTGTTGGTTTGCTGATCCCGCTGCATCCTTCCTGTTCCATGCCCTGTGCTCTCCCTGGCCAAGGGCAGGACCCCTCCTCGTGGCCTGTTCCCAGAATCTCCAGGTGGTTTTGCAGGAATTGCTGCCTGCTGCTCCATCCATACCTTGGCCACGCATCCCAGCAGTGTCCTGCCTGCCAAAAATAACCTGTACCCCTCTGCCTTCCTCTGCAGCCCTTGCCACAACCCCACCACCCCTCCTGGTTGTGCACTGCAGCCAGACCATCTACGGCTGCTGCCCGGACAACATGACCCTGGCACTCGGAGTGGGAGCAGCAGGATGTCCAAGTGAGTGGATTTTGTGTTGGGAAAGCCTTCTAAAACCTTGGAGTCCAACCCTTGACCCAGCACTGCCAGGTCCACCACTAACCCTTATCCCCAGGTGCCACACCCACGTGTTTTTTAAACACCTTCAGGGGTGGTGATTCCCTGGTCAGCCTCTTCCAATGCCTGACCAGCCTTTCAGGGAAGAAATTTTCCCCAATATCCCATCTAAACCTCCCCTGGCACAACTTGAGGCTGTTTCCTCTGGTCCTGTCACTTGTTACATGGGAGGAGGAACAAGCCCCCACCTTGCTACAACCTCCCAGCACGTGTTCTTCCCCTTCTGGATCTACTGGTGATGCTCTTGTCCTTCCAAAAGCTCTGAGACAACCTCCAGGCCTAAAGCCCTTTGAAATGCGGGAAGGCAGGATGGGAGCTCAGAACTTGTCTGGATGCCCCCAGAAGTGCCCATGGGGCCAAGACTGTGCCACTGGTGCCTTCAGCCCATTGCTGGACTGACCAGCCTGAGCGACAGGAATATTCCACGTGTCCTTGAGCTGCAGGATGAGGTGGAACAGAGCTTGGAGGTTCACCTGGGGACCTCCCACAGGCCACCCCAGGACCGGTGACTGGTGGGTGACTGCACTGTGCAGGAAGCTGAGCTGCCCAGCGTTTCATTAATATTTATTAAATAATTATCAGGGCCAGAAGGAGCATTTTGAAAGGCATTAGCAAAGCCTTTAACAGCTGAGGCTGTGGCTGCCTGGCAGGGAACACATTGCCCCGTGGAGACACGGCTCGTGCTGTGCCTGTGCTGGGCTAATGCCTGTTTGATGAGGGGGGAGTCCTGTGTAATGTGCTGGATAATTTCAAAAGCAGCAGCACTGAGTGTCCAGAGGTGTCCTGGCAGGAGTAGGGGGGGTGCTGCAGGCTGAGGTGGGTGCTGGGCAGAGGAGACAGTCAGGGTGATGCTACAGAGGACACAAGCATTTTGTTTTTAGCACCACACTGGTACTGGTGATCCTCTGTGTCTCTGGTGGAAATCCTGCCCTCCAGTCCACGGGCACAGCTTCCCACTTCACTGGGGTTCAGTATCCCACTGGTTTCTGTCCCACCTGTGTCCCTGTGCTGGCAGCAATCATTCATCAGGGGCTAATTACCACTTAACCAGCAGCTTGAAGCCCCTGGGGCGGGTTTGTCCGTGGATGTGCCACTTCCCTGACTCTGGCAGTGTGGGGATGTGCTCATGGCACCCTCCTGGCTGCTCCCCAGGTCTCCCTTTCTCCCCGTGTCTCTTTTCCCCTGCTCCCTGTGGGTGAGGAGAAGCGTCTCTCTGTCTATCTTTGGATCGCTCCCCTCCATCAAGTTCCTAATTAATGAATTAATAATAAACTTCTAATAGCTTCCTTCCCCTTTGATGGTAATGAGAGAGGAGTCCTTGATGACAGCAGGCTGATCCCTTGGAGGTTTAATTCCCCCTCGGAGCAGGAGCAGCTGGTGGAACCTCCCCCTGCCCAGCGCAAGCCCACCCTGGCTGGAGCTCGGGGGCTCCTCCCTGGCTCAGCCCCTCTCTGAGGCTCTCTCTGCCCACAGGCACGTGCCAGTGCAACCCCTACGGCTCCTACGGGGGGTCTTGTGACCCCGGCACGGGGCAGTGCTCCTGCAAGCCCGGCGTGGGGGGGCTCAAGTGCGACCGCTGCGAGCCGGGCTTCTGGAACTTCCGCGGCATCGTCACCGACAGCAAGAGCGGCTGCACCCGTGAGTGGGGCGGGGCTGGGGCAGCACCCGGGGCAGGGCTGGGGCGTCAGCACCCCTCATCCTGCTGCTCCCACGGGCACGGCCCCATGGCCTGCTCGGGGCGGGCGTCAGGGTGTTAATGTTAAAACCGTGAGCCCCAACGTTGGTCCCGTTGTCAGGCACCTCCAGTGACTGTTGGTCCCATTGTAAGTCATCCAGCAGCTGTTTGTCCTATTGTAAATCATCCAGTCACTGTCCCATTGTAGTCACCTTCGGCAGCTGTTTGTCCCATTGCAAGTCCCCCACTGGCTGTTGGTCCTGTTGTATGTCAGCTCCAGTGGCTGTTGGTCCCATTGTAAGTCACCCAGTGGCTGTTTGTCCTGTTGTAAGTCACCTCCAGTGACTGTTGATCCCATTGTAAGTCATCCAGCAGCTGTTTGTCCTATTGTAAATTATCCAGTCACTGTCCCATTGTAGTCACCTTCAGCAGCTGTCTGCCCATTGTAAGTCCTCCAGCAGCTGTTTGTCCTATTACAAGCCATGCAGTGGCTGTTGGTCCCATTGCAAGTCCTCCAGCAGCTGTTTGTCCCCTTGCAAGTCCTCCACTGGCTGTTGGTCCTGTTGTATGTCAGCTCCAGTGGCTGTTGGTCCCATTGTAAGTCATCCAGCAGCTGTTTGTCCTATTGTAAATCATCCAGTCACTGTCCCATTGTAGTCACCTTCAGCAGCTGTCTGTCCCACTGTAAGTCCTCCAGCAGCTGTTTGTCCTATTACAAGCCATGCAGTGACTGTTTGTCCCACTGTAAGTCACCTCCAGCAGCTGTCCTGCAGAGCTGGGTGACGTGCCCCGTGCCAGAGGGACCCGGGTGAGGCTGCAGTCGGCTCCATGAACCCCCTAGCACAACAGTGTGGTTTTGCCCTTCTCTCCCAGCCTGTAACTGCGACCCCGTGGGGTCAGTGCGGGATGACTGCGAGCAGATGACGGGGCTGTGCTCCTGCAAGACTGGCATCACTGGCATGAAGTGCAACCAGTGCCCCAACGGCAGCAAACTGGGCATGACTGGCTGCGAGAAAGGTGAGGGGCACCAAGAAACGGGTCCTTGGGAGAGCTAAGATGCACCAGGAAGGGAGGGATTTTGCTTTCTGTGTGCTCTGATCACCTCTTCTTCCTGCCCCACCAGACCCCTCGGCCCCAAAATCCTGCGAGGAGATGAGCTGCGAGTTCGGGGCCTCGTGCGTGGAGGTCAACGGCTTTGCCCACTGCGAGTGCCCGTCCCCGCTGTGCTCAGAGGCCAACATGACCAAGGTTTGGGGGACAGGCAGCACAGGGGGGCTCAGGGGGGTGAGCAGGGACCTGTGGGGGTTCATCTGCGTCGGGCAGCGCGGGGGTCTCGTGTCTCTTCCTCCCACAAGAAGCAGGAGGGAAGGTTTGGTCCCTGCCTTGGTGCGTGGGGAAGGGGGATGTGCAAGTGGTGGATGTCTCCCAGCAGAGCTGGATGCTCTGTCTCCCACCTGAGAACTCTGAGTTTGCTCTGCTTCTGGCCTCCCACGGCCCACCTCGGGTCCCTCTGTGCAGACCATCCCCTCTGTGCCTCAGAGGGACTCCTTCCAAATCCTTCCAGCCTTTAGAGCCTGGTTTATTTTGCCTGGAAAAGGACAGGGGGTGCAGCTCACGTGTCCCCTCTGCCTCAGAATTCTCCCAGCATTTAGAGACGAGTTTCTTTTGCTCGGAGGAGGACAGAGGCACAGCTCACGTGTCCTCTCTGCCCCCCAGGTGTGTGGCTCTGACGGTGTCACCTACGGGGACCAGTGCCAGCTGAGGACCATCGCCTGCAGGCAGGGCCAGGTCATCACGGTGAAGCACGTGGGGCAGTGCCATGGTGAGTGCCCGCTGCTCTGGGGGGCTGGGGCAGTGCCAACCCCGTGACCTGAGGTCTGGCTGCTTTCCTCTGCAGTGCCAGGGCATTTCCTGACATTTCCTGCCCAGGGCAGGTGCCCTGAGGGTTCCCAACCAGTGTCATAGGTTTGCAACCTGCTTCCCAGTGCCGCTGCCAGCCTTTCCCAGAAGGTGCCCCCCTCCTTACCCGCCCTGTTTGCTGCTCTTTCCAGAGTCCATCACCCACACGAGCCACCCGTCGCCTCCCACGCCGCTGCCCACGCTGCCCTTGGACCGGCTCATCCTCCCCCCGCCCCTGCCCCTCACCACCCAGGCTCCAGAGCCCACCGAGGTGGCCACCAGCTCCCCGCCGCTGGAAGCCAAGCCCACGGAACGGGGTCACCCCACGACGAGGCGCGTCACGACGGCCAGGCCGGCCACGACGCCCTGGGCCACCCACGGCGGGCACAAGACCACGGTGCGGCCTCTCTCCACCGCCCCGGTGGTCCTGGGCACCCCCCAGCCTGCCTACGGGGAGTCGGGCAGTGCTGAGGGCAGTGGGGACCAGGAGATGGGCGCCAGCGGGGACCAGGAGTCCAGCGGGGCGGGCTCTGCCGGTGAGTGGGCGCTCCGGGTGCTCCGGGGCCGCTCGTGGGTCCGGCCAAACCCTGTGTGTGTGAGCTGTGGCTCAGCCCCGTTCTCTGACGCAGAGGGGAGGTCTTACTGCTGCTGGTGAACGCTCCTCTTGGTGCCCCTGCAGGGGAAGAGGAGGTGGAGGAAGGCCAGGTGACGTCCACCCCGGCGGTGGAGAGGGCCACGTGTTACAACGCCCCGCTGGGATGCTGCTCCGACGGCAAGACCGCGGCTGCCGACGCCGAGGGCAGCAACTGCCCAGGTGAATTTGTCCCGGGGTTGGGCTCTGGGGGTCCCTGTGGGGGGTCAGGAGTCAGGCTGAGGTGTGGGGTGCCACGGGGAGATGCCCAGCAGGGAGGGCAGCACTGGCGCTGTGCTTGCCCGGCTGGCAGCGAGGACAGTCCCGTGCCCCGTCCGGGGGCTGGCGTGTCCCTTGAAGGGGGTGTTCACGGGGATGTGCTGAGCCACAGCAGCTGGCAGACACGGTGCCAACCTGCCACAGCCCCCAGCAGCCAGCCCTGGTGCTCGGGTGGGCACTGCTGTTCACGTGGGCAGCCAGAGCACTGCTGTTCTCTTCCCTCCTTTACTGCTACAGCCTTAAAAATTTGACCAGTGCTTTGCCCAGGCTTCTGCCAATCTCTCCACTGGCACTAGGGTGGAGGAGGGAATTGCTTGGATTCCCTGTGTTAGTGGCTGTAAAGGGAGCTGGGGGCCAGGACCAGTTTGGTGCTGGGGGGAGAGCAGTTGTACCCCCAGGGTCCCTGCTGGGCATCCTGGGGGCTCTGAGCTGCTTGACCCTCACAGTGGTTCCCAGGGGTGTGCTCTGCTCCCCTGACCCATCTGAAATCTCTCTTCCTGCTCACAGTCCCTTTCCACATGTTGAGGAAGCACAGCCCCACCTCTGCTCCGTCAGAAGATGTCCATCCTCCTTACCCTGAAAATCCGTGCTCTGGGGCTGTGTCCCAGATATTTCCTCACTGAGGTCCTTCCCAAGTGCCCTTGTGGTTTCCAGCAGGACACCCCCTTTTCCTCTGGACACCACATTCCCCTTTCAACCCCCAACAGCTGCAGGGACCCTCCCATGTGGTTACCTACAGTGGGATCTCTCCATCCTTTGCATCCCACTGCCCCCCCGGAAGGGACCTGTCGCAGTTTCGCTCGGGTTTGGCAGAGCTGGCCTGGAAGGCTCTGTCCTTCCTTCTCCCAGCACAGGTCTTCTCCTTGTCCAGAGCCCAGGTTTCTCCCTCCTGTGCCCTGTGCATGCCCGTGTCTGGTCCTGGAATGCTGACTGTCCTGCTAACGTGTCTCTCTTGTCACTCAGCCGGTGCAGGGGGGCTGCTCTCCGGGCCGGAGCTCAGAGGAACCCGTATGGTAAAAGCTGCCATCTCCAGCCTGGTCTTTGCCATCTGCTCCAGCACCCTGTGACACTAATCCTCCATGGCTCTCCCAGACCCATCCAGACTAACCCCAGCACTGGCACTACCCACACACTGCCATCCCCCTTCCCCAGGGACTCGGATGCTCTTGGCGGCTCTCGGCCTCACGCCTCCCCCCCTGCCCACCCAGACTAAAGGTGTTTGTCCTGTGTTCCCTCCCTGCCACAGCTACCAAAGTCTTCCAAGGAGTCCTCATCCTGGAGGAGGTGGAAGGCCAGGAGCTGTTCTACACCCCGGAGATGGCTGACCCCAAGTCAGAGCTCTTTGGGGAGACGGCCCGGAGCATCGAGAGCGCGGTGAGTTCCAGGGCAGGGATCTTCTGTCCTCGGCAAAAGAGGGGGCCCTGCCACACCGTGGAGTCACTGAGTCACAGAATCAGGGCTGGAAAAGCCCTCCAAGGTCATCAAGTCCATCATTAACCCAGCACTGTGTTCACCACCACACCATGTCCCAAAGTGCCACATCCTCGTGTTTTTTGAACACTTCCAGGGATGGTGATTCCACCCCTGCTCTGGGTAGCCTGTTCCAGTGTTTGACAACCATTTTGGTGAAGAAATTTTTTCCCAATATCCCATCTAAACCTCCTCTGGTGCAACTTGAGGCCATTCCCTTTCATCCTGTTACCTGGGGGAAGAGACTGACCCCCACCTGGCCACAACCTCCCTTTGTGCTGGGTCAAAAAATCCTTCTGAGTCCAAAATCCTTCTTCAGCCTGACCACAGTGATGGGACAGTTCAGACAGGAGGTTCTGCCTTAACCCCTTGGATTTCCCAAAGTGTCCTTATCTCCAGGAAAAGCCCTGAGTTAAAAACACATCCAGAACCCCTTCACCCTGTGGTTCAGCTCCAGAGCTTGGGAAGCTGCTTTTGTAAATCCAGCCTCCCACCCCTGAGGAGAACCCCCTGCATTGCCAGCTGCAGGAGTAGGTGGATTTTGGGTGGCAGTGTGTACATTTGGGGGTGCTGAGGCGGTGCTGGGCGAGGTAACAACGTTCTGCTGGAGCCTGCAGGGTGGCACAGCAAACACAGACCATCTTTGCAAGGGCATCAACACATTTAGAGCGGGTTCCAAGCTGCACACAGAAAGCTGGCAAGCCCTCAGTGCAGTCACACCAGCAGATGTGTGCCTGGCACATGGACCAGCTGGCTCCTGCAGTTCTGCAGCACAATACCAGTGTTTCCCAGTACGGCCCAGGATGGAAACGTGCACACAAAAGCTTCATTCACGGGTTCATCCATTAAGGGCCTTTGCTGGTTTCTGTTTTCCCAGGCTGGCAACATGAAACCATGGCACAAAAGGCATCTGTGGCTGGGCTGAGAGCTCCTGCCACAGCCCTGTGCTGCAGAGACCTGTTCCCTGTGCAGCCTGCCTGGGGATGTGATGTGCTCCTTCACCCCCCTGCTCACTATTCCAAATTTAAAGGGGGAGACTGTGCCATGGGACCATTAATCAGTTAATTACTGTCTTCTCTCTTTGCCTGGAAGCCAGGGGAAGGAATTGGTGGACAGACCAGCCTGGACAGACAGCTGGCAGGGGTGTTACAGCCCTGGCTTGCTGTGAGCCTTGCACTGCCACTGTCTCCTTCATGTGACTTCAGACAAATCCTGCAGTATCCAAGAGCCAAGTTTTAAAAGGCAGGCAGGTACTTAAAGATGCAGAATAGGGCTTTATGGGATTTTCCAAAGTGCCTAAGCAGGTTTACACAGCTTTAGAAGAGATCAGGAAGACTTAGATGCCACACAATAGAAAATCCCTGGATGAGCTGCAAGGTGTCTCTGCTCTGGCTCTGTTCTACTCCTCCTCACAGGTACCACGGGGTGTCCCACATTATTTATGGATCCTGTCCTTACCTTAAAGAATAGGGACCACCTGGAATTGTAGCACAGCAGAGCCCTGTCCTCTGTGTGTCTGTGTCTTGCAAAGGGTTGGATGCAAACCCCTGTGGGTTGAAACCAAGGAGACCGTCCGAGACTCCAGATCTTTCCCTGGAAAGGATCCATTCCCCAGGATCTCCCCATTAACCAGGTTGTTCCCTTTTCTCCTCCACCTCCCTCCGAGCAGCTGGACGAGCTTTTCCGCAGTTCTGACGTCAAGAAGGATTTCAAGAGCATCCGTGTGCGGGACCTGGGGCAGAGCAGCGCCGTCCGTGTCTTCGTGGAGTCCCACTTTGACCCAGGTAGGAGCATTCCCTGTGGCACCCCCACCCGCCCCGGGAGGGAGCAGGCATTCCCAGCGGGAATGCCGGCTGGAGAAACACGCGTGTGGCAAGGAGAAGGAAAGAACCTTCCTAAAATTTGCCAGGGTTGTGTTTTCTGCCCAGCAAAACCAACAGAGCTGGGAGGGGGTGAGCCCTAAGCTCCAGCCTGGAGGGCTGGAAGCGTTTTCCTTGGGAAAGGAGCAAATTTGGATGCGCTGTGGGAGAGGAGCTGCTGGGTGGGCTTGTATCTTCACTCTTCCTCTTCTCCTTCCTCCTCCTGGCTGTGAGCAGCCACGTCCTACACGGCAGCTGATATCCAAGCGGCCCTGCTGAAGCAGATCAAAGCTTCCAAGAAGAAGACCATCCTGGTGAAGAAGCCCCAGCAGGAGCATGTCAAATTCATGGATTTTGGTGAGTCCCCTCTGTCTGTGGCTGGCCCCCCCTCGCTTGGATTAGGCTTTCAGATGGGCAGGGTGGCTCTTCTGCTCTTGCCAGGGCTTTTTGTCTGTAGCAGTAACCCATGAAAAGCTCCCCCAGGCAGTGCCAGGGTGCAGAGGGTGGTGCAGAATCAGGGAATCATGGAATGTTTTGGAAGGGATCTTGAAGCTCATCTCATTCCACCCCCCCTGCCACGGTGGACCCAACGCCAAGGCTTGTCCAACCTGGCCCACAGCTTCTCTGGGCAACCTGTGCCAGGGGCCTCTGAGAAAAATCCATGTGCCCAGACTTGGTTTTCACTCAGGAAAACCATCTGGGGGTAGAATTGCCCAACTTTTTCACGGCACATGGCAACTGCTGCACCGTGGGGGCGTGGCAGTGGAAAGGGACCCTGTCCTGGTGCTCCTGAAGTGGTGGCCAGGCCTTGTCCACCCTGATAAACCCGGAACAGTGATTTTCCAGGGAAGACACGTGGCCCGTGGGAGCGTGGCCGCCCCTGCCTCGGGAGAGGGCTGCGAAGCACTAACTTCTCCCCGCCCTTTGCTCTTCCAGACTGGATCCCCAGGCTCTTCACCACCACCATCACCACCACCACGGCCACCACCATGGCCCCGGCCACCACCCGCAGGGCCACCACGGCCGCCGCCGTCACCACGGCCCGCGGGCAGCGCCCCGGGTGGAGGCCCAGCCCTCCCACCCTCCTGCCGGCCGCCAGCACCCGCAGGAAGCCCACCCGGCAGCCCCCCGTCACCAGGAGACCCCCCCGGCCCTGCGACTCCCACCCCTGCCTGCACGGGGGCACCTGCGAGGACGACGGCGAGGAGTTCACCTGCAGCTGCCCCGCGGGCAAGGGAGGGGCCGTCTGTGAGAAAAGTGAGTGTGTGTGTGTCCCCCCCCATGGCGTTGATGCCAAAATTGGCAGAAACGAGGCTGCTCAGGGACAGTTTTGAGTCTTTAAGCAGCAAAGGTATTTGTTTTGAGCAACGCTGGGGAGTCTAGCCAGGGGCAATTCTACCCACTGATGGTTTTCCTGAGTGAAAACCAAGTCTGGGCACACGGATTTTGCTCAGAGCTGGACAAACTAGCTCCAAAGTTCTCAGTGAAAAGCCAGGTAATTTATACAGTTTTTGTGAGTGATTACAACATCTATACATGCACATTCGTTTAATTTCACAATCTAATTATCATATTCGTAATGGGCGGAGCTTGAGACGGGGCTGTCCTTTTAGGGAGTCCTCTGGTGGTCTTTCTGGTCCTTCAGCCTCAAGAGGGTCCTCTTTGTCATGAACTTTTCCTGACTACGTACTGGGAGCTTGTGAAACCCCCCTCCGCTTCAGCTTGCTCATCTCCCCGGATGTCCATTCTATCTAATTCATGACTACTAAGTTGTCCTTTCTGTTATCTTTTCCTTAGTACAGAACATCCGTAGGCAGAGCTCTGGAACAGGGCACCCCTTGTCCCTTTAACAGTAATGCTGTATTCCTCAGAGCAAGGGTCTGTAACATCCTCTCAGCACAGAATTCCGGCATCTCAGAACTCTTGCTGGGTTTCAGCATCCCAGAGCGGGGTGGGGAGGGACCTCTGAGCTCACCTCCCCCATCCCAGGTTGCTCCAAGCCCCGTCCAACCTGGCCTGGAGCGGGAACATCCCGCGTCGGGCGACTCCAGCGAACGCGTTGGCTGGTGATGGAGCGATGGGGGGAACGTTCAAACCCGGCCCCGGAATTGGCACTGGCACTGCAGGGGCTGCTTTAATGGGCTGTAATCTCAGCTCTGCCACAGCAGGTTGTACATGTGCTATTCATTGTAAAAGGCTGCGAGGTGCCAGGAGTGATTTCCCCCTGGCTCCGCTCCTGATCCAGCAGTGCCCCGAAGCACCGGGGGATTGGGAGCTGCTGCTGTGTTAGCTCAGCTCGTGGCACTGCCCCTCACAGCTCCTGCCTGCCAGTGTGACACAGCCAGGCACTGACCATCCTCTCCAGCCCGGGGAGATGTGTTCTGGTAATCCAGCCTCTATTTCCCAGTGCTTGGAGCAGCTTAACAAGCAGCTGGAGACTGGCAGCACGCTTACCCAGAGCTGCTGTTATTTACTGTGAGCCCCCACTGGCAGTTTGGGGTCATGCTGGGGACTCTGGGTGGCTGGGAGTGCTTATTCCTGAAAAGCTTTGTCCCTAAAGCCATAATCTGGAGCGCTCCAAGCTGTGGGTGTCCAGCCCTGTTCATTTTAATAGGGCTTGGCCTCTCAGATCCCTTGGAAAACCTCAGCCACGATGAACAAAAGCCTGGAGTGATGAATGTAAATCTGTCATGTGGGATTCTGGGAGGAGAGATAAAAATTATCTAAGGAGCAGGGAAGCTGAGTTACGAGGAGCTGTGTGTGCAGCAGAGCTCGGATGATGGCACAGGAGCACGGAAAGGACCAGCAGCCCTGGTTTTTAACTGGGAGGAGCTGGTTGGGGGAGCAACACCCTGGATCTTTAAAGCCTGGGAGCAATCTTTGGGGGGAATGGCATCACAAGAGGGGTTTTGGGTACCAGTGTGAGTGTCTGGGAGGTGGTGACGGGGTGAGCGTGGGCTCAGAGGAGACAACCAGCTTCTCTCCACCCCTTCCCAAGAGCTCCGTGTCCGGACAGGTCGAAAACATTCCCGGGCTCACATCAGGCTCTGTGTCCTTCTGTCCCCTCTTCACTCCTCTCCTGGCTCTTGCAGCTATCAGGTACTTCATCCCCAGCTTCGGGGGCAAGTCCTACCTGGCGTTCAAGATGATGAAGGCGTATCACACGGTGCGCATCGCCATGGAGTTCCGCACCCTGGAGCTCGGGGGGCTGCTGCTCTACAACGGCCAGAACCGGGGCAAGGACTTCATCTCCCTGGCCCTGGTGGGCGGCTTCGTGGAGCTCAGGTGGGTGCCCTCCCAGCCCCAGGTGGTGGGGAGGAAGGTGGGCTGCTCCAGCCAGAATGGTCCTCGCAGAACATCAGGAGGATGCAGGGCTTGGACTCGCGTTCTGAGAGACCCGGAATCAAAGAGATGAGGAGAGGAGAAGGGTTTTTTTTTTTGGATGTGATAGGGAGCTCGTTCCCTCCCTCTGGCACTTTTCAGCAAAGTTAATTCAGTGATTTCAGTTTGAATTTTGAAAAGCTGGAAGGTGTGGGAGGTTGATTTTTTGGGGGCGAGCGAGAGGTCTTTTTTTTTTTGGTTTGTTTTTTTTTTTTTTTTTTTTTTTTGGTACCAAGAAAAGAAACACAGGTGGGAAAAAAAGGAAAGGGAGAAAGGCCCCGGAAATCTGAGCTGGAATGACTCTTTTTTTTTTTTTTCCCCTCCATTCCAAAAGCCAAAGGGACAGATTTGGAATGAGGTGAGGTGGAGGAGATGAGTCCTCAGGCAGTCCTGACACTCGGGGGTGGGCAGAGCGTGCTCTGAGGGCAGCCTGGCACAGAGGTGGGCAGGGAGGGGGGGTCTCCCAAGCGCTCCCAGCTTCTCCCTGGGAGATGTCACCTGACACAGGTGTCACCTTTCTGCAGGATGGCACAAACACGGCCCTCTCCCCCACCCCTCTTTTCTCCTGCAGGTTCAACACGGGCTCTGGCACGGGCGTCATCACCAGCAAGGTCCGTGTGGAGCCTGGCAAGTGGCACCAGCTGGTGGTGAACAGGAACCGGCGCAGTGGGATGCTCTCCGTGGATGGGGAGCCCCACGTGAGCGGGGAGAGCCCCCCGGGCACCGACGGGCTCAACCTGGACACCGACCTGTTCATCGGGGGAGCGCCCGACGACCAGATGGCCGTGTGAGTGTGGGGCTGGGGGCTGTCCCTGGGTCACAGAGCCCGCCACTGCTTCATGGGGGGCTGGGGGGGCTTCTTAAGTGATCATCCGTCTGTGTTGGTGAGGCACCTCCAGGGCTGTGTCTGGTTTTGGGGCCCTCACTGGAAGAGAGACGTTGTGGGGCTGGAGTGAGTCCAGGGAAGGGAATGGAGCTGGGGAAGGGGCTGGAGTATCCTATGAGGAGCTGGGGAGGCTCAGCCTGGAGAAAAAGAGGCTCAGGGGCGACCTTTAAGCTCTCTGTGACTCCCTGACAGGAGGGGGAAGCCGAGGGGGGGTCGGGCTCTGCTCCCAGGGAACAAGGGACAGGAGGAGAGGGAACAGCCTCGAGCTGCACTAGAGGAGATTCAGGTTGGACATCAGGAGGAATTTCTTCGCAGAAGGGGTGGTCAGGCATTGGAAGGGGCTGCCCAGGGAGGTGATGGAGTCCCCATCCCTGGGGGTGTCCAAGGAAGGACTGGCTGTGGCCCTCAGTGCTCTGGGCTGGGGGACAAGGTGGGGATGATCAGGCACAGATTGGACTCGATGATCTCAGAGCTCTTTTCCAGCCTAAACCGTTCTGTGATCTGTGCCCTGTGGGGGAGCACAGCCTGACCCACATGCTTGGAGTGACCAAAAGCCCCAGTGACCCCGTGCTCTGTCCCCCCAGGGTGGCAGATCACACCACGGCCACCACGGGGCTCAAGGGCTGCATCCGCCTCCTGGACGTGAACAACCAGATGTACGACCTGCGGGAGAAGGGCAGCGACGTCCTCTACGGCAGCGGGGTGGGCGAGTGTGGCAACGACCCCTGCCACCCCAACCCCTGCCACCACGGGGGCATCTGCCACGTCAAGGAGGCAGAGATGTTCCACTGCGAGTGCCGCCACACCTACACTGGTACGGGGAGGGGGCTGCAGGCTCCTCGTCCTGCTGGGTGGTCCTGTGGGATCCCAGAGCCTACGGGATCATCAGAGTGGGGAGGGGGCTGCAGGCAGGGCAGGGCTGGGCTCCTCATCCTGCTGGGTGGTCCTGAGCAATCCCAGAGCCTCTGGGATCATCAGAATGGGGAGGGGGCTGTAGGCAGGGCAGGGCTGGGCTCCTCATCCTGCTGGGTGGTCCTGAGCAATCCCAGAGCCTCTGGGATCATCAGAATAGGGAGGGGGCTGCAGGCAGGGCATGACTGGACTTCTTATCCTGCTGGATGGTCCTTTGGTGTCCCAGAGCCTCTGGGATCATCAGAATAGGGAGGGGGCTCCAGGCCAGGCTCCTCATCCTGCGGGATGGTCCTGAGGAATCCCAGAGCCTCTGTGGTCATTACACTGGGGAGGGGGTTGCAGGCAGAGCAGGGCTGGGCTCCTCATCCTGCTGGATGGTCCTTTGGGATCCCAGAGCCTCTGGGATGAGCACAGTGGGGAGGGGAGTGTCAGCAGTGGGATAGAGGGAGAAGTGGAGGATGAAGCCTCCTGCAGTGAGGTCAGCAGGTCTGGGGTGTAGCCCTGTTCACATGCACAGAAGGGCCAGGACCTGTTGGTTCTCCTGCACAAAATAACATCCCCTCGCATTTTAGGGGCGTAGCCAGCCAAGGGCATCACCTGCCAGCTGTGGGGGCTTCCTGGGTCACGGGGACCCAGCCTGAGCCAGAGGCTGGGGGGGGATCAGGGGACAGCAGGGACGTTGGGCTGTCGGTCTGTGGCGCGGGGGTGACGCTGCCTGTCCCGCCGCAGGGCCCACGTGCGCCGACGAGAGGAACCCCTGCGAGCCCTCGCCCTGCCACGTCTCTGCCACCTGCCTGGTGCTGCCCGAGGGGGGTGCCCTGTGTGCCTGCCCCATGGGCCGGGAAGGAGACTTCTGCGAGCGAGGTGGGACGGGAGCCGGCGGAGGAGCGGGGCTGGGGCAGGGGGTGGACGGAGCTCAGCGTGCCCAGCCCGGGCGGTGGCCTCGCCCGCTGTGGCTCTGGGGCACTGGCTGAAGCTGCTCTGCCTCCCCTCCCTCACCATCCCCTCGTTTGTGCCCAGTGACAGAGCAGGACCACACCATGCCCTTCCTCCCGGAGTTCAATGGCTTCTCCTACCTGGAGCTGAACGGGCTGCAGACCTTCGTTCCTGACCTGCAGTAAGTGCCAGGGGCATGAGGGTGGCCCGTGAGGGCATCACCTGCCTGGTGGGTAAAGAGACACCACAGAGCAACATCCTGAGCACGGCAGGTGTGCCTCTCACCCGCCCAGGGTGCCTTGCAGGGGTGGCATCTCTCTGCCAATCCCGTAGCCCCGGGCAGGCAGAGTTATTCCAAGGGCTCAGTGCGTGGGGGTGGAGGAAGAGAGCGCGAGAGGCTGCTGGGTTGGAGGGTTATCCATAACCTTTCTCTCCTCAGGGAGAAAATGTCCATGGAAGTTGTGTTCCTGGCCAAGAACCCCAGTGGAATGATCTTCTACAACGGCCAGAAGACAGATGGCAAGGGGGACTTCGTGTCCCTGGCCCTGCACGATGGGTACCTGGAGTACAGATACGACCTGGGCAAGGGGGCAGCCGTGCTCAGGTGAGGGGGCCCAGCCCGGGCTGCTCAGGGGAGGTTTCTCAGCGCTCTGCTGATGGCAGAGCTCTCACCTGTGTGTCTTCTCCCCCCTTCTCGCCACCCAGGAGCAAAGAGCCGGTTCCCCTCAACACCTGGACGAGTGTCCTGCTGGAGAGGAACGGGCGCAAGGGGGTCATGAGGATCAACAACGGCGAGAGGGTGATGGGGGAGTCACCGGTGAGTTGGTGGCTCAGGAGGGGGCTCTCTGGGCTTCCAGCCCTGCTCCTGTCACGTGTGGAACGAGCTGAGAATTCCCCAGGCTCCTGGGCTTTTAATCCCTGTGGCACACATGGCTTCAGGAGTGGAGGAGGAGCGGGCAGGCCCTGGGGAGGAGAGGGTGCTGCAGGCAGAGCGTGCCTGTCTCCCTGCACACCTCTCCCAGCCCTTGCTGCCTCCCTGTGCCCTGCACACAGGGCTGCAGAGCCCCTGCCAGGTTTCAGGAATGCCTTTGAGCCCCCTCACACACATCCACCTCCCCACTCTTTATCTCAGATCCTTGACTGTCCCTGGATCGGGGCAGGCACGTGAGGCACCTGTGCTACCTGTGCTTTGAGCCTGTGCCCTCCATGGTGGGGGCTCAAGAGCCCCCCCAGCACAGAGAGCTCAGCCAGGAGGAGGTCACGGAGCAGGGAAAGCCCCTTGGCACTGCTGCTGCTGAATCCATCAGTGCCTCCTCTCTGTTTCCCAGCTGGCAGCTTCCCCCTCCAACTTCTCCCCGTCCCCTGTCCCTCTGCACTTCTGTCTGCAGACCCCTGGGGTTCCTTTAACCCCTCCTTTCCAGCTGGGAAGCTGATACTGCAGGAGAAGCCCTGATTGCTGCTGAACTCATCTATAAGATCCACCTAGAAGTGCAGCACCAGGATTACACAGCGTTCCTGGAAAAGAAGGGATTTCTTCCTCCCCTCGCTCTGCTCTTCTCAAGCTTCTCTCCCAGCACAGCTCACCCCTGGGTGGCAGGGACCCTCCTGTCACCTTCTGCAGCCCCCCTTCCCCTCCCTGGCTACCCCAGCACTGGTGGCAGCGGGGGTCTTGTGGCCCTGCATGTTGCAATGTCACCCACTGATCTCCCTTTTTCTCTCTCTTTTTCTCTCTCCCTTTGATTTCCATTTGTAATTTTCCCTTCCCTGCTGTCTCTGGATCCCAGAAATCCCGTAAGGTAAAGATAAGTATGAACCACCACACCTCCATCTCATCTGCCATTGGCACCTCGTTCTTTTTTTTTTGTTCTCCATCCAGATCCCAGTGTTTCACCCACTCCCCTTCCCATCTGACCGAGCAGCTTTAGGATCTCTTTAGATTAGAGACACTCGTTTCCTCTTCCATCATTCATCCCCAGCCAGTTTTTGCATTTTGTTCTGGAAGCATTTCGATTAATCTGATCATTTTTTTAACTCCACGAAGCACTAGCTAGTGATCCATATAACCCCATCTCTGCTGTGCCCCTGGCTCCATCCCAGGTGCCCAGGAAGGGACATCATTCCTGCTTGGAGAACCCTGCGGTTGGAGACTCTCCTGGGATTTTCCGGGCTGGGCAGATGGGACCGCAGGGTGACAGCAAGGAGGGAGATTTCTCCTCCAAACACACACCATGTGGGATGCAGGAGAACCTCCTCTAGCCGTGGCAACCTGTAGCAGCCAGGAGAACCCAAGCTGAATCCTTCTGGAATGCGTTTGGGTTTGAACATCACCCCCGGAGAGACTTTGGTTACTTGGTTTGGGGGGTCACGCAAAACCAGAGCCCCCCTCCACGCCTGAGAGCATTAGAACAGCATCTCCCCAAAATTAAACCCCCAGGGAACCTTTTCCAGGCGCCTGCTGGTGGGTGGGACCTCGCAGCTTGGCATGAGGAGGTTTCCTGGAGGCCCCTTTCATAGAATCAGAGAACATCCTACATTGGAAGGGACCCACAGGGCTCACCAAGGGCAACTCCTGGGCCTGCACGGGACACCCAGGGATATCCTGACATCTTCTCCATCATCTCCCCTCTCCTCCCCAGGTGCCTCACACCTACCTGAACCTGAAGGAGCCGTTTTACGTTGGAGGAGCCCCTGATTTCAGCAAGCTGGCTCGAGCAGCTGCCATCTCCACCAGCTTCGAGGGG